GTGTGTGAGAGAGTGTGTGAGAGTGTGTGTGTGTGTGTGTGTGTGTGTGTGTGAGAGAGAGTGTGTGATAGTGTGTGAGAGAGTGTGTGAGAGTGTGTGTGTGTGTGTGTGTGTGTGTGTGTGAGAGAGAGTGTGTGATAGTGTGTGAGAGAGTGTGTGAGAGTGTGTGTGTGTGTGTGTGTGTGTGTGTGTGAGAGAGAGTGTGTGATAGTGTGTGAGAGAGTGTGTGAGTGTGTGAGACCCTCAGCAGAATAAACACGTCTGTGTCTCTCTGTAGGATCATTCAACACTGAGTGACGTGAGAGGCAGACGTGGAGACAGAGAGTACGATAGTCTGGGACGTCCCGCCATCTACACGACGTACCGTCCGGAGCGATCCAGCAAGAATTCGAGAGAGATTGAGGAGGAGAGAAATGAGCGCAGACGGAGAGTCGAGTCCTATGTCAAATCCAGCAATATGTCACTGGTGAGTGTGTGTATGAAATCAAAATGAATCCATCTACCTTCTTAATGCATGAGGCATCCATTCAAATGACAGTTTGAACTGATTCACATCGACTGAATCAAGTTTGAATAAATTCGAAGAATCAAACTGTTTTTAAAGGATCAGTATATTGAAGCTTTAGACACAACATTTTAAAAAACCTAAAAGAAAAGTTTGCATGTGTTTTTTTTGTATCATATGTGATGCATCAGGCTTTTAAGACCCATATAGTCTGATATGCACAAAATCCCACAATGCACAAAAATGTCTATTTAATATACATGTCACTTCTGTAATTCCTGTCATTCGTCACAAAATCAAAAGAAAGAAATAAGAAATTATATTCTGCATTAAAAATCATTAAGATTTTTTTTTGCACTGTGACATTATTTTCATGATGTTTAAGAAAACCTACTTGTATTCTCATCACCTTAATGCAAATAAATCAGTAAAGTATTTATATATGGGTTCGAGTTTATTCTCCTGCCTTTAATTTATGCTCATTTAATTTAAAAAATCTTTATTACAGTTTATTTTTTGATGAGAATCAACTTTTAGAATAATAACTAATAACAAAAAAAGTAAGGTTGTTTTTAATTTTCATTAAATGTCATGAAAATAATGACATAATGCAAAAAAAAAGACTTTTTTTATATTCATGTGTCAATTTAATTCAAGTTTATTTGTATAGTGCTTTTCACGATACAAATCATTGCAAATCATTGTCACTATATTTTGTAGCTTTATAGGGTTAAAACTACATCATCGTGTTTCTTGATTTGACATCAGCAGTGAATAAACGGTGATTATTCCACATATGGTCCAGCCCGAGATGAAGAGCAGCAAGCCTTTTACTGTCAGTAGATCTCAGATGACGTGGCTTCTCTTGCAGGATTCAGGGCTTCACCGGGATCAGAGTTCTCCTCCTCCGTCCGTGAGCTCGGGTCTGACTGCAGATGCCATCGGGGAAGGATGGAAGCGCGGCTCTCGCAGAGAGATTCACCGAGACGTGCAGCGAGAGCGAGTTCCTGAAGGAGAGGAAGAAAGCTCTCCTGTGAGCTCCTATCAGCTATCCGAGGCCGTTTCCAACTACTTCCAGTGCAGCAACGGCGGACTGACGCCGAAGGCAAACCCCAACGCCATCATCATACACTCTCACGGACCGGTCATCTGATCAACACACCATGCTTCCTGCAACACAAGCGTTGTGCTGATCGTCAGTGCATGCAGCTTGATTATCTGTAAACTCTTAAAGGGACAGTGCACAAAAAATGATCATTTACTCAGTCAAACCTGCATGGTTTTCTTCTGTAGAAGTGTTTACACTCGTGCATCGTGCATATCACTCGTGCACAATAGTGTAGTCTTGATAATCTTCCTTCTGCAAAGCACTCAAATCTCATGTGCATCACAATCGTTTGAGACGTTCAGTGTCGTGGATGTCAGATCTGGATATTTTGATAAGATCTGAGGAAAGGAGATTTGCTTTAGTTCATGCATTAGCTAATATAAACTAACGGTGAGTGTATATATATTTTACAGCGTTTATAAAAATATGGTTGCTCATTGTTTTTGTTAACTAAAATGAAATCCATGAAAAATTATGAATTATTTCAAGTAATGATAAATAAAATATATATATATTTTTTATATATTTAATTTTATTTCAGCTAGTTGCAAAAGCAGCATTTCTCATTTTCATTTAGTTTAAGTACTAAAATAACAAACAATTTATAACACCTATATAGATATTTAAAAAAACAAGCAAAAATGACAAAACGCTTCAAAATTACTATAGCCATAAAATATTAATTACTTGAAATAAACATTAGCTGAAATAAAATATTTAAAAAAAAACGTATGCCAATGCAACATTTTCATTTTCAGTTAGTACTACAATAACTAAAACTGAAATAAAAACTTTAATAATTAATAAAAATGATAAAAGCATCCAAATTACTAAAACAAAAAATGACAATAAAATCTAATTATAAAATATTAATTACTTGAAATAAACATTAGCTGAAATAAAATATTTTAAAAAAACGTATGCGAATGCAACATTTTCATTTTCAGTTAGTACTACAATAACTAAAACTGAAATAAAAACTTTAATAATTAATAAAAATGATAAAAGCATCCAAATTACTAAAACAAAAAATGACAATAAAATCTAATTCCAAATAACTCAAGTAAACCAATAAAATTTTGATTTAAAAAAAGCAGTAGTACATTTTGAAATTAACATTAAGATCAATAAATTCTGTAAGTATTGTTAATGTAATTAATGTAAACAAATGTTTGATCTGCTTTCATTGTATAGACAAGATTATATAAACATTCCTCAGATTTTCTCTTTTTTTGTGTTTTTAATGGCTGGAAGAAACTCATACGGGTTTGGAACGACATGAAGGTTGAGTAAATGAGCGTTTTTTAGTATTTTAAGTTTGAACCGTTCCTTCAAGCAGACGATCAGCACAAACTCTGGTCTATGAGCAGGTGTGATGAAGAACTGAGGAGTGACTCAGGAGTGATTCTCCATCACTGGATCTCTCGAGATGATTCAGTCGAGGATGATGGACTCCAACTCTGATGTATATAAACGCGTTTCTACTCAACCAAGTCTTGCTGATCATAATTTGTTCCTGGTTTAGACACGGTCTACCTCTGCAGAACTCACAGTGCCAACATAACAAAAACCCTGACGGTCAAGAGTGTCATTATGATGGTACTTTTATGATACTTTCTCGTACTATTTTGTATAATCGATTTGACAGCTACAAGCACATATCAGACTTTCATGTTTGTTTGAATTGGCTCCTTTTAAAAATCATAAACTGATTTATTACATATTGATCTGTCATTATACTAAACATTCTCCTACAAGTGATTTTATAGGATGTTTATATTTATATACTTGCTCAATCGGTCAAGAGTTAGAAATTTTTATTTTTTTTATTTTTATGTTTTTGAAAGAAGTCTCTTCTGCTCACCAAGGCTGCGTTTATTTGGTTAAAAATGCAGTAAAAATTGTGAAATATTATTATAATTTTATTTTACATTTTACTATTTTAATATCTGTTAAACTGTAATTTATTTCTGTGATGCGCAGCTGTATTTTCAGCATCATTACTCCAGTCTTCAGTGTCACATGATCTTCAGAAATCAGTATAATATGCTGATTTGCTGCTCAAGAAACATTTCTGATTATTATCAATGTTGAAAACAGTTGTGCTGCACAATATTTTTGTGGAAACTGATACATTTTATTTTTCAGGATTCACAGATGAACAGAAAGTTCAGAAGAACAGCATTTATTTATTTTTGATCAATTGTAATGCATCCTTGAAGTTTAAAAAAATATATACTTATTTTGAATGGCAGGGGTTTCCACAAAACATGGTGCAGCACGACTGTTTCCAACATTGATAATAATCAGAAATGTTTCTTGAGCAGCAAATCAGCATATTAGAATGATTTCTGAAGATCATGTGACACTGAAGACTGGAGTAATGATGCTGAAAATACAGCTTGCGCATCACAGAAATAAATTACAGTTGAACAGATATTCACATAGAAAACAGCTGTTTTAAATTACAATAATATTTCACTATTTTTACTGTATTTTAATCAAATAAATGCAGCCTTGGTGAGCAGAACAGACTTAAAACATTTTTTTTTTTTTAAATCATACGTATTCCAAACTTTTGACCGATAGAGTACATGGTATAAAAATGTTTATATATAAATGCTATGTAAAATATTTCTATTCTATATTTCCACCAGTCACTGCAGTTATTGTTGCTACTGTAAAGACATATGATAATATGGATCTCCAGTGTGGCTAATACACAATTACAGTTTTATCACTTTGCTGATAAATTAATATAAAGAGTTAACCAGATTAACAGGTTACTTCTCTACAATCTACCCAGTGACGTTATTTACTGTACAAAAACTCCAACACTGTATTTTTTGTTACTGTAAATTTTTATTACTACTCTTGAGTTTGTGTAAATGTGCTGTTGGTGACTAGTAGGTGTTCTTTACTCAGCTAACTAGTGTTAACGTCCAGACCTGACCTAGATAAATGTTTTCTGTAAGTGTTTATTCAAAGAAAGGAAGATGATTGATATGTGAATAGATTTAATAAATGTTAATGTGAATGAAAACACAGAAGCAGTCGATGAAAGGCTCTTCAGTGGCGTATCCGTATGTTTTCACGCAGAATCTGCCGATACCGATAGTTTGGGTCAATTTCTTAACCAAAAATATATAAATCTCCCGACCAATGCTGTAATCTAGAGGTTAAAGTGAACAGCAACACTATTATATTCAATCCTGTTCGTTTTCAGGTATAATAATCGCACTCAAAATGTTTGTAACTCAATTGCACAAAAGGTAGTTCTCATAAACGGATTTATTCAAACATTCAACAGTAATTAAGCTCCTTCTAGTGTTTTATAGCTAACGAATGAAACTTGAACAGTGAATAACTTAAGGTAAATGCAACATTAAGTGACATTGTTCACAAACTTTTATTTGACGTCTTTCTTTCGGTTGAAACTCTGATCGAGCGATTATATGAGACATGATTCGGTAAGTTGTACTGTATTATTCAACATACCTTTTGATGTTCATTCATGTTTATTTTGTGCAGTAACTTGTAATAAAGCAGAAGAGACTCGCACTCTGATCTGTCACGCCACATTTAAGAGCGTCAAAACGACATTTAACGTTTGGATTTTGTGATAAAATGCACAGGATTTAAAAGCTGAGACTTTCTTATTAGAGATCGAGCGACATGTTATATGAGACATGATTCGGTAAGTTGTACTGTATTATTCCACATACCTTTTGATGTTCATTCATGTTTATTTTGTGCAGTAACTTGTAATAAAGCAGAAGAGACTCGCACTCTGATCTGTCACGCCACATTTAAGAGCGTCAAAACGACATTTAACGTTTGGATTTTGTGATAAAATGCACAGGATTTAAAAGCTGAGACTTTCTTATTAGAAGTAACAAAGCACAAATCTCTTTGTGAGCATTGGAGGCATGTTACAAATAATGTTTTGTGAAGGGAAAAATCTGGCGCTGCTTTAATCTGGACAGGCCTAAATTCAACACAAGACACGTTTTCATCACGCAAGTTGCTGTCTGACACACTTTTCCGCCGCCTTTTGATCGACTGAGTTCTGACTGGAAATAATCGACCCCGAAAATAATCGGCTGTTTTTAAAAACACGGCCGATCTGCGATGCCGATATATCGGTGCATCCCTGGTTTTCACGTGTGCGTGCGCGTCTTGCGGTGGGTTTTCTGGTGCGTGCGCAGGTTGCTCTGCTGTGAGAAGTTTTTTCCGCAGGTTGTGCAGCGGTAGGGTTTCTCTCCGGTGTGAATGCGCTGGTGCATCTGCAGGTGACTGAAGCGATCGAAACTCTTCCCGCAGAACGAACAGATGAACCACTTCTCATGCACCGTTTCACTCCAGTGCGCCGCCGCCGCTGCTGCTTCTCTCGCGGCGAACGCGTGTCTGTCTGCGCAGCTGTGGTTCAGATTCTCATCTGGAAGCGTTCGGATGAAATCTGGTTCTGTTCTTCTGTCGGTGCATGAGTTCTGGTTTACGGACTCAAAGTTGAGGTTGTTTAAGGTTTGTATAGCTGCGACGGATGAGCCGCTTTCTGCAGATGTGAATGCGCATGCGTCTGCAGGCATCTGCGGATCTATGATTTCAGACTCCACCAACAGTCCACCAAAGTTTCTGACGAAATAATCGACCCCGAAAATAATCGGCTGTTTTTAAAAACACGGCCGATCTGTGATGCCGATATATCGGTGCATCCCTGGTTTTCACGTGTGCGTGCGCGTCTTGCGGTGGGTTTTCTGGTGCGTGCGCAGGTTGCTCTGCTGTGAGAAGTTTTTTCCGCAGGTTGTGCAGCGGTAGGGTTTCTCTCCGGTGTGAATGCGCTGGTGCATCTGCAGGTGACTGAAGCGATCGAAACTCTTCCCGCAGAACGAACAGATGAACCACTTCTCATGCACCGTTTCACTCCAGTGCGCCGCCGCCGCTGCTGCTTCTCTCGCGGCGAACGCGTGTCTGTCTGCGCAGCTGTGGTTCAGATTCTCATCTGGAAGCGTTCGGATGAAATCTGGTTCTGTTCTTCTGTCGGTGCATGAGTTCTGGTTTACGGACTCAAAGTTGAGGTTGTTTAAGGTTTGTATAGCTGCGACGGATGAGCCGCTTTCTGCAGATGTGAATGCGCATGCGTCTGCAGGCATCTGCGGATCTATGATTTCAGACTCCACCAACAGTCCACCAAAGTCTTCCTCGCTGTGAGGAGCGTCGAGTCTGTCTGTGCAGATGATCTGTGTGTGTGTTTCTCCACAGGAATGATGCTCTGGATCGGTGTTTGTCTGGTTGGAGTCTAGATTCCTATCGTGATGAACATGAGAAGCAGGTTTCTGAACGAGACGCCCTGCAGATAAACCAGAAATCACACTGTATCATCACAAATGTAACTACAAAGAACCTCTGAATTTACTTTTTCAACAGTATTCTTGGAAGTAGCTTGGATTATTTTTTATTCTTTTAAATTTACATTTTTGATTCATATTTATTATATCTTCTATATTATATAATTATAAACATATAATGTACAAATATGTAATAACAATGTAATAATAATGCAGTATATTTCAGCATTTCAAATATGAAAATGAATTCTATATATACATTTTATAACATTTATTTTCGTATTTGAAATGCTGAAATGTGAAATACATGGCATTAATTCAAAAATAAAAATGGAAAAAAGTTTGAGTCTAAGGTGGACTAATTTCCTTCACTCTCTCCCTCTCTGTCAC